ATGGAATATCTTAGTTTCTCCATCTATGGTAATTGAGAGTTTTGCTGGGTAAAGTAGCTTGGGCTGGCATTTATGTTCTCTTAGGGTCTGTATGATATTTGTCCAGGATCTTCTGGCTTTTATAGTATCTGGTGAGAAGTCAGGTGTAATTCTGATAGGTTTGCCTTTATGTGTTACTTGGTCTTTTTCCCTTACTGCTTTTAAAATTCTTTCTTTGTTTTGTGTATTTTGTGTCTTGATTATTATGTGATGGGAGGTATTTCTTTTTTGATCTAGTCTGTTTTGTGTTCTGTAGGCTTCTTGTGTGATTATGGGCATCTCATTCCTTAGGTTAGGGAAGTTTTCCTCAATAATTTTGTTGAAGATATTTACTGGTCCTTTAAGTTGGGAATCTTCACTCTCATCTATACCTATTATTCTTAGGTTTGGTCTTCTCATTGCATCCTGGATTTCCTGGATATTTTGTGTTAAGAACTTTTTGCATTTTGTGTTTTCTTTGAGAGTTGTGTCAATATTTTCTAAGGTATCTTCTGCACCTGAGATTCTTTCTTCTATCTCTTGTATTCTGTTGGTGATGCTTGTGTCTATGACTCCTGATTTCTTTCTTAGGTTTTCTATCTCCAGGGTAGTCTCCCTTTGTGATTTCTTTATTGTTTCTACTTCCATTGTTAAGTCCTGGATGGTTTTGTTCAATTCCTTCACCTGTTTGTTTGTGTTTTCTTGTAATTCTTTAAAGGATTTTTGTGTTTCTTTAAGGACTTCATCCTGTTTTCCTGTGTTCTCAAGTTTTTTTGATAGTGTTATTTATTTTCTTCTTATAGTCCTCTAGCATCATCATTAGAAGTGATTTGAGATCTGGTTCTTGTTTTCCTGGTGCTATGGGGAGTTCAGGACTTTCTAATGTGTGAGAACTAGGTTCAGATGATGGCAAGTACCTTGGGTTGCTGGTGCTTGTGTTCTTGCACTTGCCTTTTGCCATCTGGATCACCTTTGTGCTATCTGTGCTGTCTCTGACTGGGGTCTGTCTTTCTTATTATCTAGGTTGTGTCAGAACTGTTTGAGATGTGTTTTGCTGCTGGGGTTAGAGCTGAGGCCCAAGATGTGCTCCATGCTCTGGTGGAAACCGGAAGGGGCCTGGGCTCCGGGTCAGGAGTGGATTCCTGGGTCACAGTGGGTCCCATTTGCTCCTTGATTGGGGGCAAGTATTGCCACCTCCTATCCTTGCTTCCTCTGGGTTCTGTGAGATTGAGTGCAGAGCTGACTCCCAGGCTCTGCTCAGGTTCAGACCAGAAGGAACTCATGCCCCGGGCCAGGAGTGAGTTCCTGGGTCCCAGTGGGCCCCGGTTGCTCCCTGTTTGGGGGCAAGTGTTGCCACCTCCTAGCCTAAGATACTGCTTGAATTAGAGCTACTGAGATCCCTGTTTCCTCTGGGTTCTGAGAGATTGGGTGCAGAGCTGACTCCCGGGATCTGTGAGTGCTCGGGCTCAGACCGGAAGGAACCTGCGCTCAGGGCCAGGAGTGAATTCCTGGGTCCCAGTGGGTTCCGATTGCTCCCTGTTTGGGGGCAAGCATTGCCTCCTCCTAGCCTAAGATACTGCTTGGCATAGAGGTCCTGAGAGCCCTGCTTCCTCTGGATTCTGTGAGATTGGGTGCAGAGCTGCCTCCTGGGATCTGCGAGTGCTCAGGCCCAGACTGGATGGAGTCCGTGCTCCGGGCCAGGAGTGAATTCCTGGGTCCTAGTGGGTCCCGGTTGCTCCCTGTTTGGGGCGAGTGCTGCTTTTTCCTTACCTGGGATGCTGTCTGAGTTAGAGCTCCTGGGAGTCCCTTTTTCTCTCAGTTTTCTGGGGTTGGGTACGGAGCTGCCACCTGTGACCTGCCCTATGCTAGGGCCCAGACCGGAAGTCCCTGTTGTCTGTTTTAAATCAAAGGGCACAACCTTCAGAACGTTGCCATTTTCATGGATGCAATGACAATTGTTGTATTTTCCTTGGGTTCCTTGGGATGGCAGAAATTATCAAACCCATGGATAACATCAATAATACAGAAACAAACAGAAATACTAAAAAAACAATAAAACAAAGAGAGAGTTAGTTTAAAAAGTCAGATAGTTTGACAAAACCCTATCCAAAAAAATTGAAAGGTGAAGAGAGGATTTCAATTAACACAACTAGAAATGAAAAACAAATCATAACAACAGACCCTGAGGAAATCCAGAGAATCATAAGAACATATTTTAAAACCCTGCACTCCACCAATTTGGAAAAGCTAAAAGAAAAAATAATTTTTCAGTACATTCTACTTACCAAAGTTAAACGAAATTAGAGAAGCAATTCAAACTGATCTACAACCCCTAGTGAAATAGAAGCAGTCATTAAAACACTCCCAACCAAATGACACCCAAATCCCAGTGATTTCAGTGAAGAATTCTACAAGAATTTCACATAAGTGTTAGTGTCAACGTTCCTCAAAGTATTCTACAAAATAGATACAGAAGGAACCTTGGCCAATACATTTTACAGGAACTCTGGTACCCAAACCATAATATTCGTCATAAACATAGGTACAAAAATATTCAAATACTTGCAATCTGAATCTAACAACACATTGAAAGATCATCCTCCATCATCAAGTAGACTGTATCCCAGAGATGCAACGATTGTTCAACACAGAAAAACTCATAAATGCAATGTACCATGCAAACAAACTGAAAAAAAAAATGCTAGGTCATCTCCGAAGATGCAGAAAAGGCCTTTTACATTGTCCAATACGCATTCATGATAAAATTTCGGAAGAGATTCCAGATGGATGTCAATATAATGCAGTTTATAGTGAGATCATAGACAACACCAATTTAAATAGAGAGAAATTGAAAACAATTCCACAAAAATTAGGAACAAGACAAATTTGTCTACTCTCTTCATGTCTATTCACTATAGTACTTGATTTTCTAAGCTAAAGCAATAAGATGACTGAAATATTTCAAGGGGAGACATATTGGAAGAAGTCAAAGCACCTGTATTTTCAGAAGCTATGAGAGCATGTGTAAGTGACCTGAACAATTCCACCAAAAAACTTCTACGGCTGATAAATCAACAAAGTAGCTGGATACAAAATTAGCTCACAAAAATCAGTCATTCTCCTATATACAAAGACAAGTGACTGATAAAAAAATCAGAAAAATATCTTTCATAATAGCTACAAATAATATACAGTGTCTGAAGTAACTCAAGATAAAAACTTCAAGTCATTGAAGAAAGAAATTGAAGAACATATCAGAAGTATCAGAAGATGCAAAGATCTCCCATGCTCATAAATTGCTAAGATTGTCATAGCAAAAAAATCTTATGAAAAGTAATCTATAGGTTCAATGTAACACCCACAAAAATTTCAGTGCAATTCTTCTCAGGGCTAGAAAGGACAATTTCCACCTTTATATGGAAATACACTGTCATAGTCAGGGTTTGTACTTCTGTTCAAAACATCATGACCAAGAAGCAAGTTGGGGAGGAAAGAGTTTATTCATTTTACTCTTACACATTGCTGTTGATCATCAAACAAGTCAGGACAGGAACTTACACAGAGCAGGAACTTGGAGGGAGGAGCTGATGCAGAGGCTATGGAGGGGTGCTGCTTACTGGCTTGCTTCCCCTGCCTTGCTCAGCTTGCTCTCTTATAGAACTCAAGACTACCAGCCTTGGATGACAGCACTCACAATGGACTGGGCCCTCCCACCCTTAATCACTAATTCAGAAAATGCCTTACAGCTGGTTCTCATGGAGCCATTTCCTCAAGGGAGGCTCCTTTCTCTGTGATAACTCCAGCTTGTGTCAAGTTGACCCATAAAACCAGCCAGTGCAGACCCCAATTGTGGAGTTAGGAACTTGTAAGTCCTGAAAGCAGGACTTTCCGGGTGATGGGCATACACACATAATTCCCCTTTCCCCGGATCACAGTTTCTCAGGTTCCTCTTCCTCTGCACCTGTGACATCCTGAATACAAATCTACTCAGAAAAGCCCTCTGACTTCTCACCTTGTAACTTCCTGCCCCTCCTCTTTACACCAATAGTTTCATTGACCCTTTACTGCAATAATTCTGAAAATGGTGCCTCTAGGATTGGAGAGAGGGCATCAGAACCTCTGCTGTGCCTTCCAAGGGGACTAAAGGAAGATCAGGAATGGGAGGCAGCTCTGCTTCACTGGCTGGTCATTGGTTCCCACCACTCAGCTCTGTCAATATACCTTTGCCACTCTTAGCGCCTGCTCCCACTGTGCCTACTCTCCTTCAGTTCCAAGCTCCTGCAGGGGCAAGGTTCATACCCTCTGTGGTCAGTCCCAAAGCAGTGCAGACTTGGGGCTGCAAGGTAATTATGCTAGGGGACAGACTTCCTGTGTGGCTCAATACTACAACCTGTGAGGTTCTGCTTTTCCTCTCTTTTATGTGCATGGTGAGAATACTAAGGGAGGAATGGGGGACCCATGTCCAAGCTGCCCACACTTACTTGATGAAGATTTGTTGGTAGAGAATACAGGAGTGAAGGTGTCAGTCAAGAAGAAGCTGGTAGAGATGGCAGTATAGGAGATGTACTTCTCCTGATGCCCTACTAAAGCCCACAGGCTAGCCCCTCTACCAAACAAAAGGTCTGTGATGCCAGATGTGCTGACTTAAGATCCCAAGGAATAGTTTTCAGTGTCACTCCTATAGCCCCTATACTGGCTCACATAGGGTTGGTGGTGCTATTGACACATATGTGGTCCAGTGCTGGAAGCTCATAGGGCTGAATGATAGCCTTGAATCCCATGGCTCCTAAATAATAAATACTAATCAGTTCAATGGACTTGACTTGGCAGTACCTTGGTGAAGACAGTGTAACAGGCAGGAAATACACAAAATCTGTGTTCTCAGTCCAGGGTCATTTGATGAGGCTAAGAAGAGGGTAGAAAGGATGGAGCAGCAAAAATGGCTGGCTGAGATGACTTACCTGTCACCTCTTTATTTACAGGCTGGAACTCATACAGACTCATCAGGACCACTGACACTGGACAGGTACAGGGTAGCTTTGTCTACTTGGAGGGCATAGACATGGGAGTCCACACCTTCCTGGAAACTCCCTTGGCCAAGCTAACTGCAAGACTTCTGCAGTTTGCACCTCCTGAGGCTCCTGAACCATGGAGTGGTTTGAGGGATAGGACTTCTCACCCAGCCTTGTAACCTCTGGGCCCAGAGGACTTGAGGCCCTGGGGTGGGCTAGTGTTCTGAGCTCTAGCCCAGGCTGCAGTGGCTCCTACTTCACAATCCTATAGTTTCCCTTCCTTATGGAGTAGGGGGATTTCCACATATATTTTCCAAAGGGCTTTCTGAGATTCAGAATGGAAAAACTGATGCCAGTCTCTGGGTTCAGTGCTTGGCACCCACAGTGAGCTAGACTTGTGTATTGAGATAGGAGCAGAGGTACACTTGTCTTGAGATCCAGGCTATGCCATGTGTCTCTGATACTAGGAAGAAGTATCTCTGGGAGGAGATTAGACTCCATCACTAAACCAAAGGAGCCCCTGAATTTAACGGCAGAGACTGAAGACTTGCAAATAGTGAGGTTGTGGTCCACAAAGGACTGTATCCTCCACAGTCAATGTCCCAACTTGTAGGCATACTTTTTGGGGAATTTTATTGTGTTCTATTATTTGCCATCTTTCTCCATCCTTATTCTACCCTAATTCCTTCTAATCTTCCCTTTAACACTAAGTAGAAGAGAAAGGTTAGAGGGGAAAGAGAGAATAGAAGTCTTTAGACTACTTTCTCCTGATTAGGGTTATTGAGTTCCTAGGGGAAAGTCTAATCTGCATCATCAGGATATCCCCAACCAGCAACCAGCAACCAGCAACCAGCAACCAGCAACCAGCAATCCAGCAATCCAGCAATCCAGCAATCCAGCAATCCAGCAATCCAGCAATC